GCTGGCGGGAAAAAAACAGAATACCGGCCAATCCCGGGAATGATCTAACAATGTCCTGTCCCGCAGAACAGAGCTACCTCACGTTTCGTCACCAATGTTTTGTAGCTATCCTGCCAAGTGTCGCAAGGTCACTAAAAGGTTTTGCTCCAGAAGATTCGGCTGGGAAATAGCTGTGTAAAATCGTGGAAGGAGTGGGTTGTTGAGATCCGGCCCCGGCAAGCTAGTGGCGCTGATGAAGAACCGGCTGCAGAGGGCCTTGACTTCAGGGCCGCGACCTAGAGCAAGCACAAATTCTGCAGCCAGATCATCACTTAGACGCGAGCCAGGGCGCTTGGTGTGCCCTCGCTCAATTTTCTCTCTGCCTTTCAGAAAGTTTGAAACCATAGCCTGGACCACAGCATCGGCATTGAGCTTGCCAGCCAGAACAGCACTCGCAATGGCCACATCTGACTCTCGAATTTGCCCTGACCTTACTACTAGGCGCAAGGACGCTACTAGGGGCTCCTGGCCTTACTACTAGGCGCAAGGACGCTACTAGGGGCTCCTGGCCTTACTACTACGGTGACCAGAGGCGGTATGGCACCTCCTCGTCGTGTTTGTACACAGCGATTTCACTCGTAGTCACCCGTTTTTTGTCCACTATATGGGTACTGCTGGACCTTCAAGCAGCGCCGACAAGCTGACATTTTGCCGAAGTTCGCTTACGATGCCTCACCTGGCGCTGGCAATTCGCCACGTTGACCGGGGCATTGGTGCAAATCCACGAGATTAAGGTGTCATCCGAGCGCCAGCATTGCAAAGGTCGAGTGCTGCGCAAAGACATGGCCATGTGCAAAGCCCCGGCTGCGCCGTCGATGTGGTGGGGATCTTCCCACTTGGTCGGGCGCATGAACTGCAAGGAGCAGAACGAAGCATACCAATCCATCATTGCTGGTGCTCCGCATCTAATGAAATTCGGGTATGTTTCCATACTATAATAAATTTTATGCCATATATCTACTTCACCACAGGTGTCACATCATCCAAGTTGGCGGTACCTTAATGGTCTGCCTTACCCCCACCCGGGTCAAATTCAAAAACTTGGCGAGTATGATAGCTCGCTGAAGTGCTTCGTGCTTTGGGGCGGCGCCACAAAAGGGGCGCCGTTTGACGCTCTAAATTCTACGCTCGGGGCTCTCAAAAGGTATGCGCCGTTGTCTCTCCTCTACATTTTGCCCTCGGGTGGCTCACACAAGGTATGCGCTGTTGGAATGGCACCTCTCTCCTCTAAATTTTTACCTCGGGTGTCACGTCACTCTGCACTAGGTGTCGTGCATTGGGCCCTTTTTGCACGTCTTCCTCCAAACCTTGAATCAGTCTGCAGGCCACATGCGTGCAAGCATCAAAGCAATCCTTGCTCAAGGCCTTGTAGGCACCAATAAATCTGCAAATTCTTTCTGGGAGTTTGTCGCAAAGCTTCTTGCCGTTCAAAGTCTCGGGTCTGCTCTATAGTAAAACACATCTGCCCTGCTCCACATGAGTGCTGGGCCCAAAGAGCTGTGCCCACCGAAGCTCTATGGTGACCTCAGGATATGCAGTCTGATCAGCTGCGCGAACCTGCTCGAATACTAAAGCTAATTTCCTTATGGCCCCTGATTGTAATTAGAACAATGTGTCCTGTTAATGATGATGGGACACTGCACCTGATATACACTGGACCATGAATGCTGGTCCCCTGAGACCCCCAACACATCCAAGGCCTTGAGAAATGCTGAGTGGAGAAAGGCACCTTTTTGGGTTTGGGTATTGGTCTGGGCCCTGGGCACCCATCTTTAGATTTTTCAATTCTCCGGTGAAAGCTTCTGCCTGGCACAGGCATGCCGTGGCCACAAGCCAGCAGTTCATAGCAGGACTTCATCGTCCACGCACCACAGAAACCATACCAGCATAGACCCCAAACAGTTTCAAAACGATTCCTTTGGACCAATGTTGATCAAAAACGATGCCTTGGTACGCCCTACCTGCCCCTCCCAAGAGCAAACGGCTTTATCAATGATTTTTGTCGGCATCGATATCGCTAATTGTTCGGCCGCAAGGGCAGACAAGAGAAGAGCAGGACAAGAGAAGACAAGAGAAGGACAAACAAGGACAAGACCCGGCCGCAGAGCCCGGCCACAGAGTTCAGGGGCCAGTCAGTGTGGGCAGGGCTGGTCAGCGCGGCCAGAGGACAACAGCAGGACAAGAGAAGGACAAGAGGAGGACACCAAAAAGGACACAAAGCCGGGCCACAGAGCCCAGCCATCACAGAGTTCAGGGGCGTGGCCAGGACAAGAGAAGATAAGAGGAGGACAAGACCCGGCCGCAGAGCCCGGCCACAGAGTTCAGGGGCGCGGCCAGTCAGTGTGCAGGGCTGGTCAGCCAGAGGAAAACTTAAGGACAAGAGGAGGACAAGACCCGGACACAGAGCCCGGCCAGAGAGTTCAGGGGCGCGGCCAAGAGAAGGAGAAGAGGAGCGGACACAAAGCCGGGCCACAGAGCCCAGCCATCACAGAGTTCAGGGGCGTGGCCAAGAGGAGGACAAGAGGAGCGGTCACAAAGCCGGGCCACAGAGCCCAGCGAGTTCAGGGGCGCGGCCAGTGAGTGTGGCCAGCTCTTTTTTCTGATAGAGCCCCGACAGCAAAATGTTGGGTGAAAAAAGCTTCATTACAAGGCTATGGCCTCTGCCAGTACGATGATCATGTCTGCATGTACAGTACCATAAAATACCATAAAAACACGCATTGTTTCAAAACCATTATATACGCGTGCAAGCTTGTGTAGCTCGTGGCAGGTTGATTGATGTTGATTGAAAAAGGGCTACCTTAGCCCTCACTTCCAACCAACCATCATCACTGCGTTCATCGTGGAGGATTTTTTTTTCGCAGTCGAGCTTTTGATCGTTTCTTTCGTTTTCTTCATGTAAACAAACTTCACACCGACCAAAGGCTGTTGAGACATGTGACAACAAGTCTTGGGCCCAAGTCTTGGACCCAGGTTTCAGCTGCTTAAAGTGAGTGTGCAATACCCTGCATCCAAGCGGAACTCACACTCACCTTTGGCTTTCCAACCTCAGGTGATCTAGTAATGTAGACTCTTGATTAGGTGTTTCAATCCAATTGAGGTGGGTGTATTATGGTGTATTAATCAAGAATCTACTAACATCTCCAACACAAAGCTCGCCAAAGCCCTGCTCTGCTAGCAAAACTGAGCCATCCAACGAGGAGTGTCCCATGCATGACTATAAAGAATGTCACCCCCATATACCCCCATGCTCCACATGTCAATCTGCACCGGAAGGGAGATATGACAACACAAATGTTAAGATTCCCGCATGGCAAGTAGTAGACTAGGGGCATTAAAACAATCCAAAGAACACTGACTGGAAGGACGCGTTCTCTCTTCAGCACAATAACACTAGTTAGTCTTGTCACAGGCACGACCAGCACGTGCAGGCAGCCTGAAAGTCATAGCCTTGTCTCAGCACCATCTCTGGCACCATGAAGGCCGGTGAGCCACAATTCCTGCATTGCACTAGTCGCCCAAACACTCCACCCGTCACCAAAACTCAAAGTGCAAATGGGTTCCTCCAGCTTCTCCCCTCAGTGAATCTCCACGGAGAGACCAAAGTCCACTAACTTCAACCTCCTACAGGGTGCAGGAAAATCACGTCGTCCCAATGACAGTGCTGCTGGCCTCCCATCGGAGCCACCGTACAGAAAGTTCTGCGCCTGAAGCTCAGTCCATCAGCATTGGTTCTCAAAATGGTTGGCACACATAGCAGGAGGTTCCACCGACTGGCCTTAATATCCCGATGAACAATCCTGCAATATCCTGCAATCACAGCAGAGTTACGGTACCGCCGCAGAACCTATCCATGGATATCAATGGAGTTTAAACTTGGAAACGTTGGAGCCAGCATGCACAAATCGCTGGCACGGCATGGCACGGCAGCGGTCAACCCTTTCTGACAATATCCGACAATGCGCTCCTCCTGCTGTGCATGTGTTGAGCACCCAGCCTCGAAGTGGTATCAATAGCAGCTGCAGAATAGTCGAGATGCAAATCGTGATCAGGTCCACTTGAAACAGAATGCCGAGCCCGGAACAAGGCTTGCTGAAAATCATGCCTCGAATCCAGCTTGCTTTGTGGGAGCAAAAATGACCAAAACATACTTAATCAAGCCTAATCAAACAAACTTGGACAGGCTGAGGACATGACATGAGCTCAGTAGCTGTCATGAGCTGTCCACTTTGGTGCGGACATCACTTTATTCGACCTGTGCCATGCAATAGCACAATTGAATACAGTTGACGATTGACGATGGGAATGTCGGAACTTCCATGAGAATAAAGAACACGTTTGCACACGTTTGAATCTGACGCCTCACGTTTGCTAATGTTCAACTGATGTATCACCTGAGCCCGCCGCAAGTCGTGAAACCATCCTACATTGGGATGACGGCCTTCCCATCGTGGACAGCCGTTACTTTACGACGCTGTAGCTCTTGGACCAGGATAGCAGCAGAATAGTCGTCATCACAAACCAGCAAAACAAGGGAGGGATACAAAAATGATTTTTTTAAAAAATTATGCAGACCTAACCCCCCCACTCAGAATATATTTTAAGGGGTGGGCTATACACTTGTGCACAGTCCCATAAAGGAGATTGCCATGCCTGAAATAACCCTTCCTGCCACATAAGCGAAGTCGCTGTTTGTGTCACGCCATTGTCTTCACCACTGTTCACTGTCTGAAACTCTGATAGGTGCTTAAAGTAGATTTGAATGAAATTATCGAGGTGTACCTTGTGAAGGTATCGCTTTTGGTTGTTCACTAATGATATCGCTTTACAGGGTCCGCTGCGCTCATGATTTCTATGCAAGAACCTCCTCTCACTTCAAGATTTGGGTACAGACCCTTTTAGATGTTGTTCATGTCTCATTTAGTTAGGCTCCACCTGCCGTGTCTTGTGGGCCAAGCCACGTGTTGCTGCAATGCTTGCTCCTCTGAGCTTTCACCGTCCTGGATCACCGTGCAAAGAAAATAAGACTTGGAGAGGGACATGCATGGCAAAAAGAGGTTGAGGAAGTTCAAATTCCATTTTCATCTGATAGAAATATGCGCCACTGGCAACAAGAGGCGTGCCACCGTCCGAAGACACGACTTCCTTTGTGTGCAAAGCAAACCCCAAAGCCAGGTTGCACTTTAGTTTGTTTAGATTAACAAATATATACAGAAACACGTTTCAGTTTATCCACTCCCTTGAACATCATTGAACCACCACCGTGCGCTCTTGAAACCCACCAAAATGGGGAGTATTCTTAGGCCCAAGAGCACTCCTCGGTCCTCCCCCTCTCAGTGACCGTCCAAGAGCCCATTCCCTTTTTGGTTCCTTCCACTTCACCGTCTGTCCACAGCGGGGGCAGCTGGTCGCCAGAACACCTGCAGACCGATGGCGGTCCGACAGCACTTGTTCAGTGGCGCCCAAACCAACCATCCACGGCTCCTGTGCCAGTCCATCCAGCGGTTGTATGCGGTTTTCCTTTCATGGTGTAATGCGAGAGACCCCTTGGGGCATGTTCTTCAAAGTGTTTTCACCTTTATGTCCAACCTAAAACCTTCCGGAAATGACCACCAACTTTTGAATGGTCCAAGCTCCCCTGTCCCCCCTCGACCTTTGGACTCCACCAGTGCGTGGCAGTCGTGCTTCGCGGCGTCCGCGTGGTCTTGGCAGAATTTCTTCCCGCAGAAACGGCAAACGAAGGGCAGGAAGTCCCGTAGGCCGCAGGTCTCCTGTGTTCCAGGACACGTCCATTGCAGAGTCATTTTGCCAGTATGTGCATGTGAGTACTTATCATTGTACGACATTGTACGTGTATGTATCGTTTTGCGCTCGGTGTACTCCACATGCTTTGTATGGCGTAGTCGCGTCAACATTTTGGAGCGGCCACGCACAGGAAAGATTTGGGGCCTAGGAGCATGAACAGTTGATCTTCAGCAAAGTTCTTCGACCGCCAGCCAGCCATAGCTAGTTCGTCCTGGAGTGGCGAAGCACTATACCTATTGAGGTCACCTTCACTCCACCATTCACTAGCTGTTGCCCCATTCGAAGATAGGTTTTTGGTCACTTGCATGTGAAGGAAAAACATGGTCGTACGACCAAATACGGCTTGTATCATATTGTCACGCCCTCAACGTTCAAGACCCACATGTGTGTGTGTGTGTCACCCCCTGTACCAAAGGGTCCAATGCCACCGTTTCCATTACCACCACTTAACAAGGCAGGGGGCCATCCCCCTCCCCAGTGGCGGATGGCCAACGAAGAGGCCACTGGGGGGGCTGCAAACGTACCTGCCGAACTGTTGTACAAGCTGTCACTCCACTCTTTCTTTGTTTGTTTCCATGGTGGTTCATGCTACTTCCCCTAAACCCTTGCCCTCGCCGCTCGCGCGCGTCGTCGTCGCACCACTGCAGATGAGAAACTTCAATGTTAAAACACCTTCAAGTCTTTGGACCCTCCAAAAAAAGCACAACAAAATACGCTGTTTGGTTGGTAATTTACGCCGTTTGGTTGGGAAATTACGCCGATTCAAAATTGACATGTTTTGAAACATCGTCCACAGAGGGTGTCCAACCTGGCGTTTGAATGATGTGTTCTCTTAGCTTGAAGTGCTAACTTCTCAACCGCACAATCTTCATCAAAACCAGAAAATCAAAAAACTTCCGCCTCGCCAGATTTACGCCGTTTCAAGCAAAACTATAGTTGAAAAGTAGTAAGTTTTTGGAGGTGACCTAAATATTTTGCACCCCTCCGGTTTCCATAGGTATATTCTCCACCAAAGACTCGCCCAGCGCAGCTTTCACCCCCCGGTTCTCCAAAGCACAGCAAGCGCCCACAAGGTCATAGCCATCGGCATCGCGGAACTCGGTGGCTGCGGCCTTCTCCGCTTGGAACATGGCAGGGCGGAAATCGGGATCGCCGGAATGGCCTAGGAGTAGGAGTACATCATTTGAATAGTCCAACACCAATGGGAGTTCATAAGACTCCACCTCGGCGATGTTGGACCGCAAAAAAATCCAACATGTCCATCACGAAAGGCCCACCAAACAGGGGGTCGAGGAGAGATAGAACTCTCAAAGCCCTTTTCGAGCTTTAGTCATAGGCTCCGGGCCGACCCGGAAGAATAAGTCTTGGGAAAGATGCAGGAGGGCGTCTTTCATTGTGTTAAGAGTTGAGACGATGCTCTTGGGAGAAAGTTGCTGCATCCTGCTATCTCAGCAGCTCAAGCCACTGCTGCGGTGAAATGATCCATGCAGTGCACCCTAGTGTACGCTAACAGTAGATAAACATCGCTGGAGCACATATCCAAGTGATGGGTGTCTCCAAATTATGAACCAAGTTGAAGGTTGTTTTGGGTCAAACTTCTAGCAGCACACCCCACAAAGCATAGTGTTCGGTCGAATTTCCAACTTACATAAACTCATCCACGCTAGCATTCACAGCATTCTTCAAGCAACCTGTCCGATGCCGAAAGGAAACACACACATCCAAGGTTTATCACTAGTGAGGCTCCTCAAACTTGTTTAAGTCTAGAGTCTATAGAGTCCAGCCTAAACGATGGACAGAAATGGAATGTCTCGGTGCCATCTTCCACTCCCACAAAGCGCTACCAAAGAAGGTACACGCCCAGGCCGGCCTCATGGTGGTACATCCTGGCTTTGGTGCGGTCTTTAGTGCTCCTTTGCTTCAATGCTCGGTCCAGCTGCTGGAGGACATGGTAAATCTCATCATGTTGCCTAGTCCTCCATCTAAGAGAGATTCGTAGCTGAGTTGGAGTCACATGATTACTTCGAACATGGCCGAACAGAAGAAGTTGCGCAAGTGTACGTAAACATGAAGTAGAAACAACAACCGCTCCATACTGCTCCCATTCATCTTGCTTTGCCTTGTAAAAACAACTGCGCAACAATAGATACTGTATCTAAAATTGTTACTATATTCACAACTGATTCACAACAACAGAACATTATCTTGCTTTGGGTCAATGGTCCAGGTGCGCCCCGGGTCAAACATGGCCAGTCTTAGGTCTCCCGGTCTCCCGATGGACCAAGCAGCTTGCAAACATTGGAGGCTGCCAACAAATCAGCGCATCATAAATGAGTAAGATTCACAGCGAAAGATTGACAGGCTAAGCCCATCGCGAAAGCCCCGAGAAGCGCGACAGGACACGCCCCAAACCCACCGCGCCTGAATAGCTGGGTGTGGGTGGCCTGCACCGATGAACGGGTTTCAGAAGGGCACGAAATGCTATAGGCTCCTTAAGCACCAAGAGGTCATGCAGACCTGAGATCTCGCCTGGCCCCTGGGCCTTGGGGAATCACATCAGAGAAGTACAACCTGACCAAAAGGTGTCCGTTCTGCCAGCAAGTGACGAGTTCTTAGAGAGGATTGGGATGAGAAAATACGCAGTGTCGAGGATAGGACACCGAAATCACCAGCTATCACCAGCTACTGTGAGTAACCAGAGCTATGATCGTTGGGATTTCTGGTTTGTTCAAGGTGATGTCTTTTTTGCAAAGTCGGCAGCTGTCCACTTGCACCTGCGCGTGATTGCACTCACTCTGCAGTGCGCGAAAGGATTGAAGCAAAGATTCTGCAACAGGAGGGCTCTCGCAAAGGATGAGCCAAACAAAGCGCTTCTGCACTCGCGTTTTGGCTCTAAAAGTCTGCGAGCTCTGGCAGGAGGATTAACTATATACATGAGATCTGAGATGGCTTCTATGGGATTCTTAATGATTCTTAGATTCAAGCCAAGCCTGACATGGTTCGCCTTTAGGATGTTCGTTACCTCTTGCGGCCATCTGCCCTGGCGCACGCAGCGCGCTGGGACAGGGCCCGCGAAAACCAGTCGTCAAACATCTGGCGATGGTCCGAAGAGAGGCGCTGGAGACAACCAACCTGCCCAGTGCGAGTTTCTCATCCAGTGCGGGTGGTGTCTCTCTTTGTTGATAGGACTTCTTGATTGTGAGGGGAAAGGTCTCTTGAGTCCTTCTGTCTCTTGATGTAGAATCTTCTTGATGTAGAGACATGAAAAGTCACATGCGCCAATAGCAAGCCAGCATTTCAAGTAACTTCACATCTGTAAATGCTTCTACTTCTTCCTCAAAACTCCGTAGATGGGAATAATTCTATGGAGACCAAATTCCGTAGATGTGAATAATTTGTGGGAGGCCGGTCACAGTATGGCCAATCTGGCATCAATTGAGAGACTCTGCTAGGGTCTGGAAACCCGTTTTGCTCGTCGCGCCAGAGACCAACACATATACGTAGATATATATATAATTATATATTGTATATAATACGTTATACGTACGTTCGAGTGCTTTGAAGTGCAGGCCAATCCGATCCATGAATGTGAGCAGCACGGTGCTCCTTTACTGTGTTCTGCTGTTGCTTGCTTGCTCCGAGCAGGGGTTCTGGGTGATCATCTTTCGGCGGTTTGGTGAATTTCGAGGTCCATGTGAGAACCCTTGTGGCCTCTTTTGATCTTCACTACTGGCTGTTCGATGAAAATCTCAATCGACCTGCCAGGAGGGGGTCTTGCTTCCTGCCTTCGCCAATCTGCACGCCCCAATCATCAGGGTACAGGCTGTCCTTGGATCAAAATCAACACATATATCAAAACCATTGAAAAACTAACATATGTCCCTGACTGAAGTGGACACCAAACTCCCAGTTGTTTCTTGTGGAAACACCACGGCCACTGAGCTGAATGCCTCGGACATGTCTGCCGTCTGCCTCGGTTTTTTCCGACACATGTGCCGTTGGAGAATAATCCTACGAGTACGTGTCCTGTTGGAGGGTCCATTCATTGGGTTGGCACACACACACACACAAACCTTCTGTTTGGCATTTCACAACCGCTTGGCATTATCGAGTCCACTTCTCCAACGCTTGGACGGGCGTAGCCGATGAGCAGTAGAGACATTGACATCTGGAACTCAACTGGTCTGATGCAATCTCGACTGCCTGGCTGCCCCGAAACGGTATTTTCTTTACACATATAGGGGATGACATCCAGTACTCGCCAAACGCTTCATGCATGGAATATATGATTACTTTCTGATGAAATATGGCTACCTTGACCCCTGAAACCACCCCTGGAGCGTCTGGGCCCCCAAGAAATCTCAACTCATCCGAGAATCACCGCTGGGAGACCCCGGGGAAGCCGTGGTGCAGCCTGGCGCAAGGGATCTCCGGCTCCGCGAACCGCGCGACGTGCTGCGGCGGAGCGGTGAGTTGACCCCTGCTGGTCCGTGCGGCGGGGATTTAGAGTGCTGAGTTGCAGTGCCCGAGACCCCTCGGAGCCGGAAATTCTGTGCTGGAGCAGTGGAGACCGAAATGGTGGGGAAGGCCAGGCACATCCAAGTCCCCAAAGCCTGAAGAAGGTCCGACCACTGCAGGAGAGCTTCTCCAACGTGACCAAAGATTACGGAAAAAACCTGGGTATAGACTGGAAAAAGGAAGGTTTCAGATCTTAAACCAAAGGTCACTACCTCACTACAGGAGGTTCGGCGTCACTACTGTGAAGCAGTGCTAACAACAGAATTGGGAGACTGTGGCAGCCGAGATTCATAAAGCACTTCACAAAGTGCAAGACTCCATCTTCACATCAGGCGGCCCCAGCTTTGGGACAAACATTCTCACCCTCCCTGCTCCCTCTTTCGTTCAGATCGGGGCTAACCAATGCGACCAAGCAACTGCCGACACTTTTGGCCTGGCACAGCTGGCAGCATCAAATCAACATCTGATGTGTCCACAATTATGTCCTGAATGGACCTCATCTAGGACGAAAACATATTCAACATCGCCCGAGAATGACATCAAGCCGAATCCAAACAGTGTTTGCCGAAGCTGATACGGCTAAAGAGACGAGGGCCGACACTCTTCCTCTTTTTATATATAACATGCAAAAACAGGCAAACAAAAAGCATTGGAAGCCTGTCATCTACACGAACTTTCACCTACCACACCTGGCAATCATCTGTATTTGGGGCAGCCGTGCAGTCCACCCGTCCGCCTTTGGCTCTTTCAAATGCACCATCCATGCCTCGTCTCGACTTCAACAATCAGGGTGCTCTCATCCACATACACAGTTCCACTTCCTAAGTCCCGCACCTCTTCGCATGCACGGGCAAAGCGCGCAGTCTTGTTGTTGATCTTCTTCAGGGCTGCTCCTTCGCATTTCCCCACGTGTGATGACGTACGATGTCAGCCGTGGCTAGTGGCTAAGAGATTTGATCCGACCAACTGCGCCCTGTGCCCGCTGATAGGTCACGAGCGTTTTGTCTTCCACCTCCTTCTGCCTTCCACCCACTCTGGTCGTCCTGTGGATTGGGCCAGGAAGCACATGGGGAGCTCGTCTTTGACGAACTGCTTGAGGTAACGCTCAGAGTTCCCCACCTCCCAAAGCTCCAGAATCCTAGGGAGAGAGCATTTTCCAGCATGGGGATCGATGTTGCTTTGAAGTTTCATTTTTTCCCGAGATGATGCGATCTTGCTTCCAACTCAATATGCTTGTGCCGCTCCCTCAAGCAAAAAACACTATACACACCCCACTAGAGCCACATGAGCGGCTTCCGAGTTCAAGATGTTGTAAGATCGATGGCAATGAACAACTGGGTTCTCCACGGGCTTTGTCTTCCTTTGGTTTCCATTTGGTGGTGGAGGGGGGTGCTTCCAATGCACCCTGTTTTTTCAATCCTCTTGGAGCAGCGTCAGGGGATATGTATTGTTCGGTTCGGCTTGATTCGATGGATCTTGTACAACAGTCACAACAAAGGTTGATCAAAGTTCCACATGCATCACAATGTAAGGAATGTGCCAAGAAGTGTACCAAGGGTCTTGAAAATCTCTCACCTGGAACTCTTGACAAAACAACAAACTCCTCACTCCCCTCTACCACCACCACAGGTTAAAAGAGAACACACACACAAACCAAACGGATTGGATTCCTCATGAGTCGTCTCATCTTCCAGCTGAGTGTCTTTACCACTTTGGGCTTCTTGGCCAGTGCAGGAACGCTAAGTTTTCGATCCTGTGCGGTTCCAGACGCTTTCGGTCGCTTCGCGACGTGGCAGGTCGCCAGTCCTAGAACGTAGAGAACAACACAAAAAGAACGCAATATTGTCGGTTAAGCAAGTAAGGAAGTATTGTTGATCTTCCAAGCAATTTGCATGATTGTTGTTGGGGGAATGTTAAAGGCTCAAGGCTCATACGGTTGATGAAACTACAAAGACCTAGAGCGCTTATAGTACTGCTTAAACAAAGCTCAGCTTAAAATCATAGAACATTCAAGACTGACCGAATCCGGCTTCGGCTTTTGTGGCTGCTCCGTATGGAAAGATCCCAGCCGAGCCGCACGGCATGCAAAGAGCTCTCTCACCACTGCCTGTCCCAAAGCACAGAGATTGTCCAGGCCTGCGATGCTCAGGCGGACAAGAGCTCTCGTTTTCACCTCGATTCGATTGAATAATTTAGAGGTCACATGAGGTCACCAATGTTCAAATCCAGTCATCTGCAGGTACGCGGTATGCCAAATCAGCATCTAGACTCTAGACTGAAGCAGAAGAGTCACACCGAGACAACTCTTACACTTTTGTTGGACATCCAACTATAGCTGGGATTCCAAGCCAATCAAGCAGGTGCTGCAGGATTTGTCTTTTGAGCCGTTGGTGCCCCCGGATTGTGCCTTCCTCATCGTTCTCCTCCTCAATCTCCTCGTCTTCCAGGTCTTCTTCAGCTTTTAGCAGCCTTTCGAGCCTTGGATCGTGTTGGAAGCCTGGTGATGTTAACTGGTCAGTCTCGGCTCTTCATCTGCAAGTTCAGGGAGAAATCACCTCATCCGAAACTCCTATCCGCTCGCCAAATGGGTTTGACCGACTTCCGAACCCACCGAAACCAGGTGAGCAACGAGTCCCACTTGCCACCTCCCAGTCACCGTGCAACGAGATACAAACAAATACAACAAACAAGGCAGGCAAAAATGTCTCACCAAAAAGAGGCAAAACGCGCTATAGCAAAACACTGTGAAGAAGGAACATCAACACTGAGCTGGAACCTCTGATCAGGGTTTCCCCGCTTTTTGTGAACCTCCATGGCTGGGAAGTCTGGCCCGGGAGGCAAACTCTTTCCAGAATCCAACCAAAACAAGAGAACATAGGGTATCTCATATCCCATCACCAGTGGATGCTTAGTAACTTAGTAGAGACCTTTCCCTTAAAATCCATTTAGAAACCCACTCTTAGCTGGTTTCCTGGGATTACACTGGATACACCCTAAATCTGACACCCGTCCTCCCTTCGTCTCGGTACACGGAGAAAACGCTTCGGTTCCCGAGCATCCGTCTCTTCAGGCCTCGCTTGGCACTGGCGTCCACGACCATGGCCTGGGACATGTTATTAGTGTCACCCAGTCTCTCTCAACCGGCCCAGCTAAGCATCCCGGTCCCAGGTGCTTTGCCATTGGATCCATCAGTTGACAACTACTATTTCATGATAAGATTTGTTTGCGAAGCAGCTAAGCATGTCTTCAGCTGCATGTAGCTCACTCGTCACCCCGGAGTAAAACGGCCTCATCCTCTTGGAGGCCCGCGCGAGCAACGCGCAAAACACCGCACAGTGGTGTCGGGCCGCCGCCGGTGTAGCCCATGTTGACCTTGGAGCGAGCCATCGCCATGGCGGTGTCAGGCGGAAGTTGTGAGATCCATCCAGTTCTTCAAAATGCTCTCAAGTGAAGACACCTGGCACCAGGAATCTTCATACGTCAGCAGTCGTTTTAAGGATCTGAGACCAGGCCCCCAAAGGCCCTCCTTGCAACACATCAACCGCCAAAATCCTTTCGGACCTTCCTCGCCTTACCCATCGAGGACATGGCCCCTATCCAACTGCCACAACTGGCCACAGGCCACCCTTTGGCCCTCACGCCGAGAAGCCAGCATGGAATAACCACGGCCATAGTTGGCCTGCCAGATTGGTCCAGCCGTGGAAGGAGGGCAACTAGGCAAAACATCAGGAAGACTAGAACCCCCATGAACCCCCCAACCATAAACATCTTCTCCCAAAGGTAGCTAAAATCATAAAATGCGCATCGAAAGCAGAACCAAAGAGGCAAGCCAGGGCAAACAGGAGTGTGGTCTTAGCGGTGCAAAAGCAATCGCCTCCGAGTTTGATGAAACCAACGAGAAGGGTGAGGTGTCATCTATGTCATCTACATGCAAACATGTCCTCTGAATCCATCTGTTGAATTCAGTAGTGACCCTATCAATCACTATTTGTTCCGGGGCAATGCTGGCAATGCACGACCAGGAGGGGTTGCCCTTTTACCTCTGCCACATGGACCAGGTAAGGATGCGCTAAAGATCTCAGAAGTGTTGCCCTTCGAGAAGTCTCAAATGGACGACATCCTTTTGACTATCGGGTGGACAACAATTCCAGTAAACTAAACTTGACTAAGGACAGTTCCCACGTGTTTACCTTCACCAAAACTGTCCCCCTTTCTGGCCTTTCTGGGGCCGTTCCATTGAACATTGAGCTGGTGAGCAAACTTCAAGAGCATAGTATGAAAGCCCTAGTAGCGTCCTTGCTCCTAGTAGCGATGCCAGGAGCCCCTCGTAGCGTCCGTGCTCCTAGTAGCATACCAACAGCAAGGTCTGCGCAAAGGCTTTCGGCGTCATGCCTGGAGCTGTGAAGGCTTCAAGCGAGGCTGCGCATCCAGTCGCAACTTGGGCTGCAGCAAACTCTGCAGCGGTGCCTGGGAGATAGCTGCCGCACCACCAAAAGCGAAGGGAAAACAACTCTTGTGACAGCCCTGTTACTCGGATAGGGTAAAAACATGGTAAAACATGTAAAAGCAATATGGTATTCACAGTGGTGTTGTCATCATAAGCAATTCTGACTGGTGCAGGATTTCTTCCTTGAACAGTAGGGACATGAGCAAGGACTGGTGCCATGACGCTTACCTGTCTCCACGAGCATCACACACTTCTTAGCCACTTGGGACCATTCCTCTCATGAGGATCACCAGCTTCACTTTGCAGTAGGCGAATCGGTGTTCACGACCCAAAGCGGGACCCCCAAACCTCCATTCCGCTGCTCCACAAAACCATCGTTTATTTTTACTTTTTGCCGCGGCGTCAACGGTTTTCGGCTGAGACCCCCCATATAGCGCGCCTCCTGAGACTTCACAAACTCAATGGGCTCATTGTCCTGCCACCAAGCGGAGGTGCTCCAGTTTGTTGGAAGACCAGGGATCTTTGGGGTCTTCCATGTCTTCCTATTCTATTCCTGACCACATTGAGAACAACTGTTCTTTTGATGAGTCAATGAACACACATCCCATATTGGCCGGTCTTTACAGGAAGCTCGCTGTACACAACATCGCCTGTGGGAGAAGTTTACTCAACATCTAAGTAGTGACTTAGGGTGTCTAGCTTTGAATTTCAAGTTTGGCTGTGTTGAGGAGCAAGCAAGCAAAAGGCAAAGCACAACGACCTCTGGGGCGTTCGAAGCAGTTCTTGTCTGCTGCTTCAGCTACTCTAGCGATTCACTGTACGAGTCGTACACGAGCATATTCTTGCGCCTGCTGAGTCTTGTTCATGTCTATCGCTGCACCCAGAGTTTTGTGAAACAAGAAAAGGTACTAGTAGTAAGAATGCTCCTAGTAGCGATGCCAGGAGCCCCTAGTAGCGTCCTTGCTCCTAGTAGTAAGGCCAGGAGCCCCTAGAAGGGTATAACTGCTTGAGTGGCCAAATCAAACATGATTCACAGCCCAAACTGGGCTGGAACCACTCAGTCTCCATCCTCCTCCGAGTCCATGGTACACCCCGTGACGGCGGCACGGGTGGCAGCTTTGAGCCCAAAGGAGGGCGGCGGAACACGTTCCTTCCAAGCTGTGGAAGTCCCACTGACCCACTCATTCATGTCACACGTACCTGGACTCATGTCACTCATTCGAGAATGCAGGTACACCATATGAACCACACCCACGAGATGCTCCGCAATAAAGAAGGATTTGGTACTAAAGAGATCAAAGGTGCCTCCTCCAATGCAAACGTCTAAGATGGCACCCAAGTTACAGACATTTCTACAAGCAGAACAACCCCTGTCACTACTTTCAAGAAATCGGATTGATGACTTCTGATCCTATGGAAGCATCCCATCTATTACTCTGCCCAAAACCAAATTAAGATGTCAACAAAACGCTCACGAGCCATCAATCTAAGCTTCAGATCTGGGACATCTCGTCAATTCATAAGTTGAACACAGAGTTTTTGCCACTGGAGTTCACAAGCCTTCAGGAAACGCACTGGAATGACCAACCGAATGGATCCAAACTTTTTTGTGATCAAGGTACTTAATCTGGATGCATCTCGATTCACAGGCAAAGACAATACATGAAAAAACGTTGTCACACCCAGCCTCAGGTTTGTCGGCAGGGCAAACCAGGAGTTAGAGCTCATCAAGCCTTCATATCCTCGCGGCTCGGTCGGCATCGTGCAGCCCCGGTCCCCAAACCGGTGATGACAGCGGAAAGTCGGTCTCCAAAACGGAAGTCGGAGATGTCTACAAGTCGGAGATTCACTGGGCGAACTACGGGGGAACAAAATGAACAGAAAGATAGTAACATACCCGCTAATCTAGTGCTTTGAGGTGTTCCACGATTAATTACTGCCATACATGTGCTTTGAGGTACGAGTAGGCGCATCCCACTGGCCCCCCAACGACGGATGGCTGTGGTCCACTCTGTGGTCCTGGTTCCGTGAGTGTAACATCCAAGATCTGAAGATTGGCCCCCAAAATGGAAATTCCACGATGACTCCCCAAAGGAAGCTTTCCAAGCACGCTGCCGAAGGTGGCTTAACTCCGGAAGTAAGACCCTCTAGGGTAGAGTGTTTGCCACAAGGAGGGATTCAATGCAAATGAAGTGCATCCTTTGCTTTGGACGATCCTTTCCAAATTGAGCATTCATGAACATTCCGCCGATTGAAGTATCAGTGTTTGTGAACAATGATCTAAACCTTCCTCACTCATGCCATAAAACTGCAGTGTGACATTGTGACATTTCTCTGGTGAAGGGCCGAACCTTTCCAGAACTGTTCACTTGCATAAGTGGCTCACAACTGTGACTCACACACGCTGACATGTTTGTACCAATAGTGGACTCTGAACGTGAAAAATAGTGAAAACACCGAACACATTGTCCAATGAATTTGGAGTTCATGTTGGTCTGCCAAGGGCTGTGGTTCAGCAATGCTCGCTCCTAGCTGCGATGTGTGGTAGCTGGAACCTGAGCCGTCAGCAGTGCCAAAAGTATTGGTTCTATGAATACAAGACGCGGCCGGAAACACCTCCATAATAACCCTTTTCCGCTTTTGTTGTTTCTTGCGAACAAACATCTTGCGGGAATAAGAACATCAATATGCAAATGAAGAACACAAATCAAAGGAAATAACAACGCCAAACAAAAAGAACAACCATGATGATAACAATGATGCCACCAACCCAGCGTTCATAAAAAACTGGCCATGAAAGAGGAAGCTCAGTAAACATGAAACCCAATCACAAGAAAGGAATTCCGAAAAAGGACACAGGGAAGTCACTTTTCTATGTCGCCGTGCCCACAAAGGCTTGGCATACATGATCTGCTCTGAAGTCTGGTGCCAAATTCCATGGGTCAGCTATCAGGTGCCGCGGGTCACCCAAGTGAACCTGGGTCCTGGGTTCTTGTACAAGGGTCACCCACCTCCTGAATTATATGTATAATGTTTATCCAATATGTAGACTCAAACGCCACTTCACACATATGTTTCACATCTCCCATACTCTCTATATCTCTGATGGTGAGCTTGTGTATTTTTCCCTCCAAGCGCGTATGCAGGTCAGGCCCAATGTCACTTTTAAAAGAACTTATGGTGAGGTTGTTTCGATTTGTTTTGCTAAGACAATATATCTAAAGTCAAGGTAAGTCTCAGGATTCATCCCGGTGTCACTTATTCTTGCAGTTCTTGTTCAAAGTCAAAACATCACACCTGCATGTACTTGTCTACAATTTACTTAGTTAACAAATGTTAACAATAGGGCCATGCCGGCCATGCCCGTCCCTGGGATGAGCACTAGCCGGAGAGGCGGGAGTGCCAGCACCTGGCCAGTGTACGGTGAAGCTCATGGAGGAGTCGAGTTCATGGGGTTCTAAGGTTCTATTGCTATAATTAGGAAGATCTCGGAATTACCAAGCCACACCTGCTGAATAAGTTCTCATCACTGCCAACTGCCAAACCAAGCTTATCCTTGAAATGTACGTCTCATTTGAATAAGACTTGGCTATGATTTGATTCACTGTGTGCATGGACCGTGGCTTATTCCGGTTCTCGTTTCTCAGTGGGTGCAGCAACTCGATACTTGATGAGATTTGTGTTCCAACAAAGCTTGATACAACACCTCAAACATGGATCGCAGGAAAGCAATCCGATTGTCACCATTTTGGAGGTCATTGGGTTCACTTTCTGAGTTTTGATCGGGTTGAATCTTGGAGTGTGAGCCGGCTAAAACGATCCAAAGTCAAAATGTCCAAAGCCACCTGCTTTCTCCGGTGTTCGCGTTTCTCCTGTCTCCCAACCTTCGAGACATGCGAGATCCGGTGCGCGAGTGAAACCTGGCCCGCCGAGCGGTCGCCCGAGCGGTGGAGGGATGGTCACGGAAACGGCGAAGGACTTCGTTGAAAACGACGTGAGGGACGGTCCACATGAGAGACATGTGCGGCTAACAGCATCCTCAGATTTGTGGCGTCGACTCGTTGTCCCATGTTTTTGCAACAGTGTTAAAGGGCCACAATTTTTTGGTGAGTCTTCTATCGTTCGCCAGGGTTTGGCGCATGCCCGCACATGAATGCAACGTTCCTATGCAATCGTAGTCGTCGCAAATGTTGAAAGGCACTTCACATGGATGCACCTGGGGATTCAAAAGTGCATTTATTTTTGCACGAGGATGGTTTCTGCTCGCTTTCTGAGTTCTTGCCCGTTGGCTCGAAATCAGCCCGATCCTGCCCGCTTTTGCCCACTTCACTTTTCTCGCTCGGGAGCTCAGCCATTCAGGAGGTTGAATTGCTTCTGGTATTCACCCAAGATTTTTTGGGTGCACCTCAAAGTGCAACTAAGAGCATGAGTGCCAGCAGATCTAGCTACCTGTGAGACTCTACCCACAAGATCCTCATCAGCCCAACAGGCATAGTCTCAGTGGAAGCAGGGGATCACAAGCCACACAGGTAGAGGTTTGCAAACACCACTCTTAGGCAAGCACTTAGTGGATTGACACCGTGGTGATTCTGTTGCGCCAACTTTCCAAGTTTGATCCTTAGAAGTGGGTGAGCTCATGGTTCCCCCAAAGCATGTTCCTAATGTTCCTTCAGGTTCTTACAAGAAACCCTTCGTGCGAAGACATGTGCACTTTGGGCCGGATGTAGAAAAGGTTCATGTTCCTCTCTTGGCAAAGAGAGGCCAAAGAGCAGTAAGATTCCTCAGAAAGTATGCCAAACAAATCATACACCAATCTGTGTGTAAAACTGACACAGCATGCTACCCATGCATAACAACATGAGTATACATGAGTTGAGTTACTGTCATTTCCTGAACAGCACACGCGGCATACTTGCACTCATGAGGTTTTAACCACAAACCTCTCCAGTACAACAGCCGGTAAAAGCAGTTGCTGCAACGCACCGCATACTGGAGCATCTGAAACAATGGTTCCTCGCAATCCTCAGGGCAGAGGCTACACATGCAGTTGTAAGCATGCGCGCGAAAGTTCAAAGCTAGCGGTAGCACACTAAAAAGTACGACCAACCAAATGTCCATGTTGTTTATCACATGCTCCAGCCAGGCTGACAAGATAGCTGTATCAGCACCTTTGCCACCAGTAGATGTCGGGAATGATGTGTTCCTAGCTGCGTGCAGTCACAGGTTGGTAGCACCCGAGCAAAAAGAACAGGATCCAGAAGAATGCAAGGGTTCTAGGCTATCACCAAGTGTCCATTGCATCTTGAAACTCTTCTTTGAGAAACTGTGGATATTGGTGTTCTTCTTGTGCTTCCCACACCATATGATGAAAAGCTTGAACGCACACTCCAGTCGCGCATCTAGAGATCTCCCTTCAAATAATTTCAGTTTTGCCAAAAGCACAACACCACTGGCAACGAAGTCTTTACCATACCTCAGCTCCGACAAAACCTTGCCTTCAAAAACCACACAACCACTGGGAAGTAACAAGCGTGTCAGGTATCCACATGCACTTGTGCAGTTGGAGGGCCCTATATGCCACGTGTGGGCTGCGTCAATCATGATTGACCCTGGTGAGGTCAATCCCGGAACGGAGAGCAAAGGCGACCCGGCGGGCTTGAACGGGGATGGGCAATCCTCTGGATTGTCCTGTCTCCACTCAGCATCAGTGGTCATGTTCCACCAGTCCTGGGCAGTGATAAGCAAAGGTTTTAGGGAGGCCATGGGGGACAAACAGCTAAGGGGCTGTTGCTTTGCAAAGATGACACTTTCTACTGCAGTTGTAGCCACAGTTGAGGGCCATGGCCTGGCAGCACAGCTCCACCTCTACCTCCCTAAACATGTTTTGGCTTGCCAGGCCTTTCGGATGTATGGCCAATCCCCCTTGATGCCAACTACCGCTCCATAGAAACGGGTGCCATTTACCTAATGGGCAGCCAGCAATGCACAAATACGTTGAACAGAGCTACACTATGCAGCAAACATCTATAGTGGCCAAATACCAAGTTGCTTGCACCCCCTCGTGGAACAATTTCACCAGATTGTCAGCCAAATAGCCGTTGAGGTGCTCTAGTGATTGGTCTTTCCAGTATAGTTCTGAAGGTAGAACAGAAAACAGGAACCTTGTGCACATTGAATGCCTCGGCAGTCACACGCATGTGTTAACATGAGCTACCAGGCCTTCGCCCTCCCAAGAGATCGCAGGAAAAAACTTGCAAACACTCCAAGATACCCACTTGAATTCTTGAACTCGGGCCCCTTGTAGCTCACAACAGGTTGAAACGCTTGAACCATTATGGGGAGGGCAAACTTTCCTCTTCCCTCATCTCCATGCAAGTACAGCGGAATCGTGCAATGCGCTGGAGGTGACCCAGGTTGTGCCATTGGATGATTTGGTTCTGCCTTCAAAAACATAGCCCAAAAGTGGCGCAACTCTTTGGCCCAGCATTCCTGCTGATTGATGTCATGACCACATAGGAGCAACATACTGTGCACGCTCAGCAAATAGCTAAACCATGTCGTAGGAAGAATCACTGGGTAGTGCACCCAAACTTTCTGAAGCTTGGGCTTTCGCTTGCGTACTGGGATCTGAACAGTATGGATTCGAA